AAGACCCTGCTACCTTAAATCAGTAGCAGAAAACTACCCTAGCAAAAAATTTATTCTGCTCACAGAAGAGGGAGGCAGGACTACGTGGCTGGAATGGGTGAGGAGCAAGGAGAGCGAGAAGCCCCAGCTTCAGAAGCAGTGAGTCCAGCCGCCTGTGAAACCACAGTCGAAGAATCACACTCCTTCGGGGGCACGTCACGTGTCTGTGACACCACACGCTGAACAACAAAGCAATTCTTCACAAAAACCCTTCTATGAAAGGCCTTTGAATGTTAAAAACTGTTCCAGTTTCTATAGTCTAAAATGTGGGGAGAAAAAAAGTCATTAATAAACAAAATCTTGAATTACATGTCTAAATTGTCATCTTAAGTCAATGAAAACACAGAGAGGCGTATCACATCTGAGTTACAACAGTCGTAACGCTGAAAAAGGCTGAAAATAAGGAAGATCTTAAGTAAGTGCAAATAAATACCATTGAGCAGTCTTAAACTCACTTTGTATGGAATGTTTCTCTGCAAAAATGGTGATCGCTCAATGACAAAAAAAGCCTTGAAGTTAATTTCATTTTGGATCAATTTAAAATTGACATTTATACAAGCATGCTGGACCTACTGTATCAGTAACAGAAATATATAATGCATGAAGGACTAGCATGGGTAAGTAACCAGGTTTTTCACATTTAACACACCTTACAAAAACCACGATGCAGTTTCTGGCTCTACAAGTCAATTCAGCTTCAGGAGGAATGCACGACCCTCTCAAACTCCCCGCTCCTCATTCTCTGATAATTCTACCTGATATCCCAGTCAGATCATGTTTTTTTCACTGCCATACAGAAACTTTGGTCACCAAAAGTGATTTACTTTTAAAAGCATGTACTTGGCCTTTCAGCAGTTTGTGACTGAAGGCATGTATAAATGCAATTTCAGTAACTGTTTTTCTACTTACATTTGTTATCTTAGCTGTGTCTGACCACCTAATGTCAAACATGACACCTACCCATGCTACACCAGGCCAACCCAGCCTTATATAAGCATCTCCAAATATACATTTGCTTCTGGTTACACTGCAATAAAAGATGCAAGTTTCACAGAATTCCAGATATAACTCAGACTGCAGTTTCAGACTTTCAGAGACTATATGTCCGTCTTTCTTCACAAGTTAAGGTTATTTCCCATGGTCTTTTGTCTGATTTTTTTCATAATCAGCCACGCTATCCATCTTTGACTTTGCTGTACACCGGTCTAAATCTTTAGCCACATGTCCAGATGGCTGTCTGAACATGTCACTCATCTAAATTGCAGTCCAGATAACTCAGAGGTCAGGATGTCAGTCCTAAATCTAAAGCGTAAAAGGGCCTGAGTATTGCCACGTTGAGTATCACAACACAAAGTGTTGGGACCCAAAACACTACTGAATGGAATCCACCACCTTGTGCTTTGTTACTAAGCTCCCTACATAAAGTGCAGATTTAAAAAATGTTGCTTAGCAGACTGAAAAATGTGTATGCACACATATTACTCTGACGATATATTTTTATCTTGACCCTACTTTTTAGGGAAAAAAAAAAAGTACATTTCAATCGTGTACGGCAAGCATATGTAGACATCAGCTTTTACTATCTAAAAGCCATAGCATTGTAAATAAAGCTCAACCTCTTCTAGCTCAGTAAGAGGTCCCTAGCATTTTTATAGAGAGAAATTATTTTGGATGCATGCAATTGATTATTAAATTCAAATTTAAGAGAAAAATTCACCTGATACCAAAGTTGCCATACCTAAACAAGTTTGGCAATTTCAATTCATATGTCCCACGGACAGAAACAACTCTCAACTGAGAAGATTAAAATTTGCTTTACGTAATATGATGCTTCACTAACCTTCAACTTCAGCCATTATAGCACTCCTGTCGATACACATTAGAAGACTTATTTTTAAAACAATTCATACAGACATCATTCGCATTAGCTTTCTGCAGCTTAATTCCTTGAGGTAGTTGTAAGCAGAATTTAATTACAAAAAAAGAAAAAAGGGGGGCAGAGAGATATTTGTTGTGATCATATGATATTAGTAGCAGAGTATGACTATAAAGACAGAACAACATAATTTAAGAAGCATGGGTTCTGAAAAAACATGAATCTGGGTCAGTTCCTATTCAAAAGCTTCAGTTTCATACTACTGTATATTGCTGATCAACAACGAATATTTTTCACATTAAACATGAGCTATCTCCCTTTAATCTTGCCCTTGTCCATGGCAGTTGATGATTATGTGCTGCCATCTAGCAAACGTTTCCAGAAAAGTTTAACTTTGGAAGCGATTCTGTGACAAGACACCTGAAAATTCTTAGAAAGCTTTTTAAAATAGGAAACATATACAAGACAACAATAGTTTTTTAAAAAGATTCCTTCAGTCTGTATGCTTGTAAAATTAAACACAAAATGAGAATACAATTAGGCTTAATACAGACAAACCCTGCAAAAGCATGATCATACGCAGTTGATACACAATAATTGCAAACCCGAACTTTTTCATTCTACAAGTTATGTTTTCCCTTGTATAAAAGAATGTGTTGAGCAGAAAATGTTAAGAAATACTGCATTTTCATCTTCTTTCTCAAAAACTCTAGTCTTCACTGTTTCGCTTTGTTCTAACTTTCTGCAGTCTTTACTTCCTTGCTCCCGTGACTCCTCCTCCCATCAAAATGTAATAATCCCACATAGGAATGGGATGTCTGAATTACAAAAACATTTGTGTTTTTTAACTCTTTTCAATCTTAATTTTTCAGTCACGCAGTCACACTGAAACTGTACTATGTTATTTGCCAGCAGCAAGATGATGGCTTCTTAAAATTACTGGACCTTGCTAACGGTGGGCTCTGCCAACATCTTCCTTTTTTCTGTTATTATCTAGGTATATACGCAGTTAGAGAAAAAGAACAGCTATACACTTTTGGCACAATACCCATTTGTTAACATGGAAATAATGTGAGTTTGTGAAGCTGTTACACTGAAATAAACACTTCACATGAAAAAATAAAATGAATGATGAATAGAACATCTAAACTAATTATTTTGTGAATAGCTGAATACTTATGACTGATTTCTTATATTTTTCTGTCTCATTTCACCTCATCACAACAACTGCAATTCCCTCTTCTTTTCACCCAGGATCCTTGCCACTGTACAGTAACTTCAGATCCCATTCATACAGTCACCTAAACAGTATGACATTTTCATTCTTTGTTCCCTATTAGATCAGAACAGTTGGGAGCATGTTGCTTCACAAAGGCACTATTATTTAACCAAATGATAATTTTAAAAAACCCCAACCTTTGAGGTCTCTACTCCTTTCCAAATTCTCTGGAATTAGCCAATGAATTCAAAAGCTGTCAGAAATGAGACACACACCACAGTCATTTATTTGTCTCACTTCCTTGGAGGATTAGATTTTCATAATAATAATATTCAACTTTCAAGTTTCTGTGGTGATAAGAAGATAAATCATCACCCAATTAAATATAGTTTAATTTCAAAACACGTATACACTTCATTATAATATTTGAACCAAAGGCTTGATTTTTACACTGTACTAACAAAACTTCCCATTAAGAGTGTGGGGCGTTTTTTGTTTTCACCAGGACAGTAATACCAGAACAACTCCTGTCATTGAATTACACTGAACTGAAGTTTCCTACTCAAGTGGTAAGTAATTATCCCTCCCATTCAGAAATAAGTTAAACAAGTATACCTTATCTGTACAAAGCAGATGATGTGCAACTTTTACCTATGACAATAGAGTTTATAGGAATGTGGCAGGCACTCCAGAACAAAGAAGTTTTTGGACATCAGTAACTATTTGTTTTGTTAGTTACTAGTATCAAACATATAACAAGAAGTAATGAAAATAAAGGTCAATTAACATTAAGAAAGGTGCTGATGTACATTACTGAGAAACACTGGTCTTAGAGTATTTGTTCCTCCTGTAAACAAAATATGAATTGGTAAAAAAAATTTTGAAACCTATCATCCTAGAATTCCTTAAGACTCCATCATTTAGCAGGACATTATAGTTTATGATATTAATTAATAGCAAAAGTCTGCCTTTGCCAGAATTAAAACCTGGAATACGTAGATCTAACACAGCTGAATTTACAAGGCCTTACACAGAACTACTGTATATCCAGCTACGACAAACAAGTTTATCAGCTATACAAGGGTCACAAAGTTCTTTCTGCAAAAACTACCAACATGCCTATTTTATATGGCTTAATGGGGGAAGAAATTTGTACGATCCCTAGCATTGTTTGATTGCAGTATGCCACAGGTGCATGGTATAGAGCTGCTTTTTAATTACAGTAAATTTTTCCCTTAGCAAATCAGAAGAATACACAGAAAAATCCAATAGTTTGTTTAAAACATTAGACTTTTTAAAATCATTACTTCAGTCATATCAAAGTACATTTTTTCTGATGAACAGGCTACCTCTCACTAAACTCTTGACTTGCAAATCAACCTCTCTCAGAGTTACTATAGGCCTAGAACATAAAACTTACTTTAAATACAAATGTAATCTGAGAATGCTTGTATAATCTGTCATTTTGGTTCTGCTGATTACAAATACATTAATCATACTGTGAATTATCTAGGAATCCTGGACGTGCACAATACCATCTGCAGAAGTGGATACAACACATGCTCAGCAGAACTGTCAGCTACTCTTTAGGCGTTGCAGCAACAGCAAAGAAATATGAAACACCAAACTTCTTACAGAACAGGAAAAAGTGAGCTCTAACTCATTAACTTCTCATTCTCAGCCCCTCCACCTCCAAGAAAATATGGCAACATCGTATCTTTGCTATCCAGGAGACAGGCAGCTGAGACTTTGGTAGGTCCGCTAGAATCACCTGCAAAACTTCAGTGCGAACACACAGTAAGACATGACATGATGCGACAGTGATAAGGCACTCAATGATAGGACGTTGAACCGAACCACACATACCGACAATTGCGTAGCACCCCCCCAAACGCAGTTTATCTTCGCAAGACAGATCTTTATTTTCATCACACAGCCCCTTCGCCGAGAGCCAGCACGGCGCGCTGCGTTTCCCAGGGGGGCGGCGGCAGCCACCTCAGGCCACATGGCGACAGACG